GGAATTCCCTGCACTGAGGGGGAGCCGCGACCCCTCCAACTTCCCGTGAGAACCGAGTCCCTTCCTCAACCATTTCTGTCCTCGGCGTCTCCCCCTCCCAAAACCCACCATGGCGATGCCGGGGCAGCTCCTCATCCCTTCCCCACTGACCAAAGCCCCGATTTCCCTTCCCAGATACTGAGTTCCTGCCGCCGCCGCATCCCGGAGAATCGCGAGGAGCAGCAACAAGCACCTGAGTCTTTCTCAACTACTGTACAGGATGAAACCTTCAAAGCAAGCTTCCCACGCTAGAGCCGGGCTTGCTGCCATAGTCGACAGTGTGTTTTAGGTTATTTATTTATTAAATTAGAATACTGTTCATGTGGCCTCTGCCACCGGTGTTCGTCCTGCCACGGGACTGGGAGACGCTGGATTTTCTTTCCGTTCTTTTCATTTTTCTCTTTGGGTTCGTTCTTTTTCGGGGCTGGGAGGACGGGCAAGGCGAGGAGGAAGCTGCTGGAATCGAGCCGTGGAATAGTCCCTTATCCCTGCTCACCCCCGCGCACGGCGGGACCCGGCCCGGGAGTCGCTTTTGGTTTCCTCCACACCCCAGCTCTTCTCCGGCGGCACCGGATGATCCTGGCAGCCGGGGAAGCCAAAATCCCCGTCTGCTCCAGGCGCTGCCGCCCAGCCGGGAGCCGCCTCGGGAATCTGTCTGGAGAAGCCTCTCCGTGTGCCCTGGAAGTGCCCAGGGCCGTGCCCAGCCGGGGAACCTCGCCTTAGCACCGCCCGGAGCTGCGCCCGAGGGTCAGCGCCGGCCGCGGAGAGCCCCGAGGAGCCGGCGCCGCTCCCCCAGCCACGGCCCCGCGGCGTTTTCCTGCTGCTGTCGTCGAGTGCCAACCTCTCTGGATGAACCAAAGTCGTGTTCCCGGCGGGGCCACAGCAGCCCCGGCTGCTGGAAGGGCCTCGCCCACCGATGCTGCTCACGCGCCCGGCGGCTCTTCCCACGCCAAGCAGAGCTCGCCGGCCGCCCGGCTGGGAGGACCCAGGTCCTTCTCCAGCCAAATTTCAGTCCTCATTGGAAATGTTCGGAGTTTTATTTTCTGGTCGTGTTTGTATGAATCTGGAAATGCCCTTTGGAATGTATGAGACGTCCGCCGGAGCGACCCCCACGGATTCTGTGCGAGGGGAGAGTTCAGCGTCACTAAAACCCTTCGGTCACCTCAAATCTCGATGTGTCAGAGCCGATGGAGAATAAATTTGCCAGAGTTCCCTGTTTGATGCCAGGATGTCCCACCTGAGCACAGGACAGCATGACCCGTACCAAGGTGACTTTCCAAGTGTCTGACCGGAGTCACCTCTGTCCCTCACATGGGGAACAACGTGATCCTTCTAAAATGAAACTGCCCAGCCCCGTGAGCACAGAAGCCTTTGTCCTCCCTCTTTGGTTCCCAAAGTCTCTCATCGACTGCAGATCCGTGTTTTGTCCTCCTGGGCTTCTTTGCCATCATGGAGAACTTTTTTGTGGCAGCTTGTTCACGCACAAGGAAGAGAAAACGGAGGAATTACGGCCTCAAGTGCTTCCCATGGCTCTCGGGAGATTTGGAGTCAGGTTGGCCACAAGTCGCTCATCTCCAGAGCAAAAGTTCCCATGTGTCATCTTATTCCAAGATTCTTCTCGAAATCTCTCAAAATCAGGAAGGAAAACCTTGAGAAGACCTTGAAGAAACCTTGAAAAAACCTTGAAGAGACCTTGGGAAGGCGTCAGGGCTTTGAGAAGGCCTTGAGGAGACCTTCAGGCTTTGAGAAGCTTCCGCGTAGACTGATCGCTAACCACAGACTTGAAATTCTCTCTGCTCGTTCATTTTACCCAGATCCTGAGAATTTTTTTTTCTGGGAAGAATCCCCTGAGCTGTTTGAAATGCCACAGCCAGGTCTTTCTCCCCGAGCTGGATCCTGGTCTGTGCCAGCCCCGCTGTTCTCTGGGAGCGTGGGAGCTGCTCCTGGCCCAGGTGAGATGCGGCCCTGGGGTCACCGGGGCAGAGCAGCTTTGGGAAGAACAGGAATCCCAACCCAACCACAGCCACTTTCCCCTGGAAAAGGCCCTTTCGTCCCAACCCCTCTCATCCCCAGAGCTCTGCACAGCCCCAGATCCCTTCATGCCCAGTTTCAACCCCCCTTTTATCTTCCAGGTAGATAGGAAGGGAAAAAAAATAAATATATATATATATATATTAATACTAAAATCCCAACTGGCTTTTCCCACCTCGATTTTTAAAGCTCTTCTCCATGTTCTGCTTCTCCTGTAAAAGCTTTTTGGCTCGCTTGGCTTTTTTCCTAATCAACCTGGAATCATATCTTATGATCATCTCTAAATTAAACGTGTAATGGGGTTTGGTTTCTTTTATCTTTTTTTTTTTTTTTTAAATGTAACACATTTTTCAAGACTTAGGAAAAAAGGAGATTTTAGGTAACACCAGCAAAATCATATAAAGGAAATTAATTCTGTTCTGAATTTTAGAGATAATAAGACAAAACCCGTCATCAGCAGTGAGGAAACGAAAACGTTGCAGCCGTAACATTTCAAAAGGATGTTTTAAATATTAATGTCTGAGTGATTGTATTAGATCAGCAATAAAGACTCTGTAATCTCGAAACACAAATAAAACATTGGAAAACTCACTCAGCTCTCTTCCGAGTGTCCTTGGGGTCAGGCAGGGGCAGACTGGGATTTTGGGGCGGAACAAGGAGGGATCAGGGATGGCGCTGGGATGGGGGGGTTGTCCCCAAAGCCGGAGCCTTGAGCCGTGTCCAGATAATTCCAGCTGGGAAAGCAGCTCCGGGGCCGTGTCCTTGGGGCAGCCGGAGCTGTTTGGGCTCCTGAGCTGGCGTGTCCTTGGGAAGCGGTGCCGGAACGATCCCGATCCCGTTATCCCCGCTGGAACAATCCCGTTATCTCCTCCCCGCTGCAGAAGGGGAATTCCGACCCAAACCCTTGGGGTTTCCATCTTTCCAGAAGGGATGTGGGACACGAGCGGCACCGGGATGGGGCATCGGCCACAAACCTGCACTGTCACCCCAAAAACAACTGCCCCCCCCTTTACTGGGTGTGGGAATGGGAATCCTGCTCGCTCCCACTCCTGCTCCAGTGCCCCGGGACCAAAATGGGATAACAGGGTTTGGACAGCCCGGCTGACCGGCTGCTTCTGGGGCTGCCTTGGGGATGGTGCTGGGGCAGCTGCAGCCCCACAGGTGCCCCCGCCCCTCCACGGGCACCCCCTCGTTACCCCATAGGAACCTCTGACAGCAGCAGCTCCCACCCTGCTGCCCCAGTTCAGCGCTCCAGGGACACCCCAAAACCACCCCATGGCAGCATCCCATACTCCCAGCACTCCAGGGACACCCCAAAACCGCCCCATGGCAGCATCCCATACTCCCAGCGCTCCAGGGACACCCCAAAACTGCCCCATGGCAGCATTCCGTACTCCCAGCGCTGTTGGGACACCCCAAAACCGCCCCATGGCAGCATTCCATACTCCCAGTGCTCCAAGGACCCCCAAATCCCCCATCACACCATTCTGTACTCCCAGCGCCCCTGGGACACCCTATAAACCCCTTCCCCAGCATTCCCTGTTCCCAGCACCCCAGGGACACCCCATAACTCCCCGGGACATTCCCGGGACACCCCATAACTCCCCATCACCCCAGGGACACCCCATAACTCCCCAGGACATTCCCGGGACACCCCATAACTCCCCAGTGCCCCTGGCAGACCCCATAACTCCCCAGTGCCCCTGGCACAACCCATAACTCCCCAGGACATTCCCGGGACACCCCATAACTCCCCAAGGCATTCCCGGGACACCCCATAACTCCCCAGGACATTCCCGGGACACCCCATAACTTCCCAGGGCCGCCCCCCCGTGTGTCCCCAGCCCCCCCCATTCCGGGGGTCCCCCCAGACTCCCCCAGCCGTTACCCCAAGCCCCGCCCCATCCCGCTCCGGACCAATGGCGATGCAGGGTGTGTGTTGAGGCCACGCCCCCTCTCCCGACGGGCCAATGGGCGTGGCGGGGGCGTGGCGGGTCCCGGCCCCCACGTGCTGGCGGCGGCCGCGGGATGGAGGCGGCGGGAGGCGGCGGAGCCGCGGCCCCGGGCAGGGCCCGGCCGGGACAGCCCCAAGCCCAGACACAACCCCAGCCCCAGACACAGCCCAAGGGCCGGGACCTCTTCAGGAGCCAGCGGAAGGAGTCCGAGGTAAGAGCGCGGAGCTCGGTGCCGGCACCCCCGGGCTCCGACGGGACCTGCTGTGGCGTAGGGGGTCCCTGCTCCGGGGTTGGGGCTCCTGCGGAAGGAGCCTTGTTCAGAACTGGGGAGCTCCCGGTCTTGGGGGTGCTCCCGACCCCAAACTGGACGCTTTAGGGGTCCTGCGGGGGTGGCTTTGGCGTCCTGCGATGCCCAACTCGGAGCGGGGAGTCCCCAGGGGCGCTCCCCGGCACTGCCACCTCCCCGCTCCTCCCTGCAGTTTCTGAGGTTCTGGCTCAGACCCAGCACTGGCACCTTCCAGGCCCAGAGCTGGCAGCAGGGTTTTGGGGACCCACCTGGGCTCCCCCACACTCTGCAGGTTCCCTTTTGCCCCTCACCGAGGTCCGGGCGCCTTCACCTCTCCTGCCCCAAAAACCCCGGGGCGCGGGGGAATCACCAAACCCCGCTGGGCTGCTCTGCCCCAGCTGCGCCCGGGGCTTCCTGGCTTCCAGGCTGGGGAAGCAGCACCGGGATCGGGTCACCAGGATCCCACCGGGATCTGATGTCCCTGGCCAGCGTCAAGCCACCGCGGGACCCCCGAGAGCAAAGGACGGGAAGACTTCGCTTTCCCACCAGGGAGCTGCGGATCGAGGGGCTCCCTCACCCCAAAAGGGTCCCTGGGAACGGTGTCCAAGTCGTGCCCCCAAGTCGTGAATTTGGGGTTTGCTTTGCTCCCCTGTCTCGGTATCTCAAAGCGGATTAGGGCTGCACGCGCTTCGCCGAATTCCTCACCGACTTTAACTCCCCGAGCCGCCCCGCCGGCTGGGCTGCAGAAATTGGGTGAAAAAACGGCGTTTCTGAGCAAGTCGGGCTCGGCCCGGAGCCGCGCATCCTCCTGGGTCATCAATATTAATCGCGACGATGCGCATCAGTTCCAGCCCGGCTGCCGAGGAGGGATGCTGAGACTCGGAATGGGAAATTATGTTAATTTAGTTGATTATCCATTCATGTGTTCCCTTACCCGGGGCAGGGAGGCGCGGTGCCGGCCTTGGGTCGTCTGGCTGCGGCTGCCTGCTCGCTGCCCCGCCGGAATCCTCCGGCGAAGTTTCATGCTCCAGTTCCTCATCCGCAGGGGAGGAGGGGGAGATCAGAAAGGCAAAGCCCGAGCCTGGGAGCTGTCAGATCTGCGGTGCTGAGCTCGGGGATCCGCAGCGTCCTCACGGGGGATTTTGCTTTAAACCAGCTCCGGGGTTTGTTTTCAGGGCGTGCGGGGCTTTGAAACGCATCAAATATTCAGCGGCGTTTTGTGTCGTGCCTTTGCGTTTCCCTGGGATTTGAGAGATGCTGGTTTTACACACGGCTTCCCCATTTCCGCGGTGTTTTAAGACACGGACTCCCCGCTCCCATCCGTGCGAGTCGCTGCTCCGGCGGCTGGAGGAGCTTTGGCGCAAAGGCTGCGAGTGCTGGCAGCCATCCCGCATCCCAAAATATCCCCAGGGATGTGCCAGCCCCCTCCTAACCCCACCCCGCTCTCCGCAGGGCTCCGTGGATTGTCCCAACCTGGAATTCGAGTACGGGGATGCCGACGGCCACGGCGCCGAGCTGGCAGGTGAAGCAGGTTTTGGGGGCTGTATTGTTATTTTTAGATGCCCGGCAGGCGGGGAAAATGAAAATATTGAGTGGTGCGGGAGGTAGAGCGAGCGGGGTTTATTATTAGAGAGCCACTCACGCCCTGGGGACGCAGGAGGGACGCGAGGGGACACAAGGTGGCAGGAGGGCGGAGTGTCCGGTGACACAGCCCAGGCGGGAGGTGTCACCCTTTATCGGGTGGCTCGTGTCCTGCTGTGCGGTGGCTCCAGCTGCTGCCGCGGTCCCGAGCGTGTCCCGGGAAAACCGGGTTATTTTTACCTCGGTGGATCTCGGCTGCACCAGCTGGCCTGGCAAAAACACATTTCCTCTGCAAGGGATCCTTCCTCCTTCCCTGCGGGATCGCCTCAGCCCTCCGTGGTGCTGCTCAGCGCCTCAGGACTGGGGGGATTCTGTAGGATCAGGTAGGAATTCTATGGGAATTGGCAGGAATCCTATAGGATCAGATAGGAATTCTATGGGAATAGGCAGGAATCCTATGGAATCAGGTAGGAATTCTGTGTGAATTAGCAGGAATCCTATAGGATCAGGTAGGAATTCTATGGGAATTGGCAGGAATCCTATAGAATCAGGTAGGAATTCTGTGGGAATTGGCAGGAATCCTATAGGATCAGGAATTCTTTGGGAATTGGCAGGAATCCTATAGGAACAGGTAGGAATTCCATGGGAATAAGCAGGAATTACAAAGTAAAGGTGCATCCTGGTGTCTCTCCAAGTCCAGCCCCTATTTGCAGGACCCAAAATGTCTGGGTGTGGGATCAGTGCAGGTCCTGCCTGGCTGTTCCTGCATTCCCTTCATTCCCAAACTGCTTAAGGGAGATTTAAAATATCCCCCCAAAAACCAATGAAATGGCAAATGCAGCTGGAGCAGGAGCTGGGAACAGCCCAGGCGGGACATGGGGATCGAGGTGATGAGTTTGGTGGCACTGGGGGGCCACGAGGTGCCCCTGGAGCTGCAGGAGAGCTCAGGTTCAGCTCTCTGTCCCATGTCCACCTGGGATGCTTCCCAAGGAATTTGGGAATGAGGAGGAGGGTGAAGTCCCTGCTGATCCCTGTCTCCATCAGAGCTGTACAGCTACACCGAGGAGCCTGAGCTGAGCCACAACAGGAGATGCTTCGAGGAGGATTTTCACACTCAAGGTACCAGCTCTGAGCTCAGCTCTGGGGCTTGGGGCAAGAGCAGGGAAGCACCTGGCTGGAAGTCTTGTCGCTTTTCCAGTGCCCGACAGGAGGTGGCTGGAGCTGGACAGGGCTCAGCAGAAGGCCTATGTCATGCGCCTGCTGGATGGGCTGGAGGTGGTCAACAGGGACAAGAGGCTCAGAGTAGCACGGGCCATCCTCTACCTGGCACAGGGTAAGGATCCGCTGCCGTGGGGGTTTGGGAGAAGCCTTTCTCGGGGTTGTGCCAGGTCAGCGCGGTGAAGTTCCTGCCTGGGGTGGTCCTGTGGACTCCAGGTGTTCAAAGGCAGATCTTCCCTCACCAGTGGTTCTCTTTGGGGCCTCTCCAGGTGTCTTTGGGGACTGTGATAATGAAGGTGATGTCCTGCACTGGTCTCGGCACAACAGCTTCCTCCTGTACCAGCTGGGAACCTTCTCCGCCTTCCTGGAGCTGCTCAACATGGAGATTGAGTGAGAGGACTGCGCTGCCCTCGCCTGCCTCTCCCTCCCTGTCCTCTTCTTCACTTCATTCTTTTTCCTCACCCCTCTGCTTCTTGGACTCAATGACCTTGGAGGTCTTTCCCAGCCAAAATGATTCTGTGATTCCATGATCTCCTTCTTTTCTTCCATTCAATTTGCTCTCCTCCTCTCCATCTTCTTCCTCATCCTTCTTCTTCCATCCTCCTCTTTCTCTTCTACCTCCTCTTTCTCCTCATCCTCTCACCTTTGTGCTTTTCATCTTCTTTCTCCTCATCCTTCTCACCCTCTTCCTCTTTATCTTCTTTCTTCTCATCCTCCTCCTGTTCATCTTTCTCCTCATCCTTCTCACCTCCCTGCTTTTCATCTTCCTTCTCCCTATCTTCCCCACCCTTTTCTCCTCATCCTCCTCCTCTCCATCTCCTTTCACCCCATCCTCCTCACACTCTTCTTCAATCCTCCTCACCCTCCTCTTCATCTTCTTCCTCCCCATCCTCCTCCTCCTCCTCCGCGGGAGGTGGCCCAGCCGTGTCCCATGCCCCGGTGTGGCATTCCCAGACGTTGTCTGGGTGGGGATGATGTGGCTGGCGCTGAGCTCATCGCTCTCCTGCAGGAACAGCCAGGCCTGCAGCAGCGCCCTGCGGAAGCCGGCCATCTCCCTGGCTGACAGCACGGAGCTCAGGTAGCCCCTGGGCGCTGGGAGAGCCGTGGGACCACCTCTGGGGACAGGGCAACCTCACCTCCTGCTCGTGCTGTCCCGGCAGGGTCCTGCTCAGTGTCATGTACCTGATGGTGGAGAACATCCGTGTGGAGCAGGAGACAGATCCCCCCGAGTGGAAAACCTGCCGGGAGACCTTCAGGATGGAGCTGAGTGAGCCCCAAATGAGCTCCCATGAGTTCATGGTGCCCTATCGAGGTCCCTCTGTCGTGCTGGACCAGCGGGGAGAGCTCAGGGATGGGGGGATCTGCTCTGAGCCTGGTCCTGGTCCCTTCCCCACCAGGTTTCCCTGTGCACACTGAGGAGCCGTTTGCTCTGCTGCTCTTCACGATGGTGACCAAGTTCTGCAGCGGCCATGCTCCACACTTCCCCATGAGGAAGGTCCTGCTCCTGCTCTGGAAGGTTCTCCTGGTGAGTGCAAACCCTTCCTTGCTCCAGAAACTTTTATTCTGGAGGAGTGCTGCTGCAGCCTGGATGTTCCCCACCGTTCAACCCAACCATACCGGGGTTATTTAGGACGGCACCGGGAGCTGACACAGGGAAACGATTCCTTCTGGGATGAGGGTGGGCTGGGGGAGGAATCTGGAGAACGAACCAGTGCTGCTTTGCCTTCACCCTGGGCTCTCCCTGCTGACAGCCCGCAGCTGGAGCTGCCCAGGAGGGCTCCTCTCCGTGCTCTCCCCTCTCTCTCTGTCCCCAGTTCACGCTGGGTGGGTTCGAGGCGCTGCAGGCCATGAAGGTGCGGCGGCGGGAGGAGCTGGGGCTGCCGCCCCTGCCCGAGGACAGCATCCAGGTGGTGCGGGGGATGCGCGCGGCCTCCCCGCCCACCTGCGCCATCGAGCTCGTGGAGCAGCAGCAGCAGCAGCAGCCGCAGCAGCAGAAGCGCGGCCACCGCAGCCGCAGGGTGAGAGCCGGAGCCTCCTCCTGGGCTGGGGTGGGATTCCAGCAGGCACCGTCAGCGTCACCAGGAGTGCTCGTGGTTACAGTTCCCTTTTCCCCCCGCCCAAGCACTCCGGTGTTTTCCAGCTGTAGGCTCACGGAATGGTTTGGGTTGGATGGGACCTGAAGGATCATCCAGTTCCAAATGACACCTTCCATCAGATCAGGTTTCTCACAGCTCCATCCAACCTGGCCTTGGACATTCCAGGCATCCAGGGGTAGTCACTGCTCTGGGAGTTCCAGCCCAGCCAGGAATTTCTTCCCAAGATCCCATCCATCCCTGCCCTCTGGCAGTGGGAAGCCATTCCCTGTGTCCTGTCCCTCCAGACCTTGTCCCCAGTCCCCCTCCAGCTCTCTAGGAGCTCCTTTAGGCCCTGGAAGGGGCTCTGAGCTCTGCTCACCTTCTCCAGGTGAACATTCCCAGCTCTCCCGGCCTGGATCCCTGGGAACTGAGGAGCTCCAGCCCTGCAGCAGCTCCAGGGCTCTCTCCAGCAGCTCCAGGTGCTGCTGCTGTGTCCCCAGGGCTGGGGCAGCTCTGCAGGTGGGGCAGAATTCCCTGTCCCCTGTTGCCCATGCCGGGGGCTCAGCCCAGCCTGGGGGGTTTTTGCGCGCTCAGCACATGTGGTCATGTCCAGTTTTTTCATCCACCAGTTTCAATTGCTAGAGATCAGCCCCATGGGGTGTTTGATCCAGAGGAAGCCAGAGGACATCCTGACCTTATGGCAAAGGGCTGATAAGCACTGGGGAGCAAATTGCTCACAGCAAGTTCTTTTTTTAGCTCTGCTCTTGGAGCTGCTGTGTTATGGGCTGAGGATGAAAATGCTTTTTGGTAAGGAAGAGATGTTGGATGGAAGCCCCAAAAGTTAAGGTGGAAAATGGAGTCAAACTCCTAGAGCAGCAAGGTTAGAGATACAGAAGGAATTATTCTTGTGCTTTGGAGGCAACAGGGACGGAAATCCTTACCTGAGGAACATCTGAGACCTTGATCCTTCCAGGATGGAGAGATCTGGTGCCAGCACCTGAGAGGGAAATAAAACCCTTGAAGTGACTTGAGTTTTTCCTTCCCTTTCTGCTGCAGCCCCTGATGAAGCAAGACAGTTTGGATATCTACAACGAGAGAGATCCCTTCAAGAACGATGAAGGAGGGGTTGATGAAGAGGAGAACGACGACGTGGACAGCGGGATCGAGGGGGAGCTGGACCTGATGGAGAGGGATGCGATCATCCCCGCCATGCCGGCTCAGCGCCTGCCCATCGAGAGGGTGTCCTTCCCCAAGGGGCTCCCCTGGGCCCCCAAAGTCAGGTAAAGCCACCTGGTGTCACCACCATCCTCCCCAGCCCTACCTGTCCTGGAGCTTGTTGCAGTTTTTTGGAAAGCACTGGGAAGTTTTTTGGTGTCTGGCAGGTTGAAATGAACTCCATTTCTCTTTTTGTCAGCGTTGGTCCTTTCTGGATTGGCCACTTGCCATGTTTGGTGTGTAAATCCTGGGGAAGAGCTCAGCTAAACCCAGCCCAAGCCAATAAATGGCCAATAAATAAGTCCAGCTTATTGGCCAGCAAGTGGGGATCCAGTTTTGGATATCCCAGGTTGTAGTGGGAAGGAGGCTGTGCTGTGCTGGGGCGCTGTGGGAGCAGGGTCAGCTTTCCCAACCAGATTCCAGTGGATTGTGGTAGCACAAAGTCCTTGATTAATCATCTTGGGAGCTGGTTAATGCCACCTCGTTGGGTGAGTAGGGCCCCTGTGTTGCCAGGTGAAGCCTTTTTTAGTGGCAGAGAAAAACATCTAAGGATAAAGGTGTTGGTGCCTTTCCTTCCTAAGACAGTTATCCACACATGAAATGAGGGAATGTTAGGAAAAGAGGAAAAGAGAAAACCTCTGCCCCTTTCCCTCTGATCCACGTGAGGCTTTTTTTGCTGTTTATTCCAAGCCTGGATTTAATCCAATGCCTTTAAAACACAGGAGCAAATAGATATTTTTGAGATAGGATCAGTGACGGGGTTAAGTCTGTCTGTCCAGAGCATTCCTAGCAGAAACACAGCATGAATTGGATTCCCACATGGATCTCCATGGTGGTGCTGCGGTGCTCCACATCACTTCACGCTCTCAGCTTTGAAATCAAATGTCTGCTGCTTTTCTTGGCTGGAGTCTGGAAATCCAGCTGGATTCCTTTCTGTCCAGGACAGCCTTGGCTCCCAGCTCATGTCCTGCTTGTAGCGCAGAGATGCCGAGTGGTTCCCATGAAAGATGCCCGAGGTGGACAAGATGTCAGCTTGCTGTTGGAGCAGCGTGTGCTCCGGCAGACCGTGGAGACGACATTTGTTCTCTCTGAGTGAGCAGATGCTCCTTGGAGATGCATGTGAGGAGCACAGGAGGTGGATACAAAGGTGCCGCTTGTAGAAAACTCCTGTCTACTCGCACGTCCCCGTGGAGTTGCACGACAAATACAAATGGTTTAGGTTCATGTTGCCCCCAGACAATGAGGGCAGAGGTGGCTTTTGCCTGCTGCAGTTGAGATCTCTAGAAATCAGACTGAGGCTGTGATCTCGTACGTGGCTGTTTTCCAACCTTCTCCTTGTTTTTGTCTCTCCGCTGCTCCATCAGACAGAAGGACATCGAGCATTTCCTGGAAGCAAGCAGGAACAAATTCATCGGATTCACGCTGGGACAGTGAGTGTTTCATCCTCCAAATCTGCCCTTGTAGCTTCCATCAGTGGGGGTTAAGTGGTGGGAGGTGTGCACGAAGCTCAGGTTTTCCCAGCTCAAGACATGCTCAGGATGAGGCAGTGCTGGGTTTGCCGGAGCTGCAGCAACCAAAGCAGTGCTAGAAAAACATGTTCCTGGAGAACATTGGTCCCCAGGGACCTCTTTCTATTAAAAATCAGACCTACCCCAGAATAAGTGACTGCTGGCCCGAGCCAGGAGCTGGTTTGATGCAAAAGGCAGCTGAGACAGTTTGGTATCCACAGCAAATTACCCAGTCTGTGAACAAATCAAGCTGCGGGTGCAGAGTCATCCTGGGACAGACCCAGCAGGGTAAATTCATTTTTAGGTGCAGTGCTGGGCTCAGACTGGCCCTACCCTGTTTCTGATTTCATCTGGTTTCACCCAGATTCGGATTCAATCTGATTTCACCCCAATTCTTCACCCTGATGTCTCTCCTCTCTCATGCAGGCATGACTGGGAGGAGGTGGGAGGGCAGCAGCTCACACCAACACCTCTCCCAATCCCTAATCCATCTGGGATGTGTTCAGCAGACTCCAGGCTCCCTCTTTTACCTGTTATGACATGGAAATGTTTGAACATGGATGTCCTTCTTTCCTCTGACCTTCTTTCCTCTTCCCCAGGGACACCGAAACCCTGATAGGGCTCCCGCGGCCCATCCACGAAAGTGTGAAGACCCTGAAGCAGGTGAGACGGTGGCTCTGTGCATGGCATGGGATACCCACCACATGGATCCTCCTGGCCAGCCTCACTGAAACACAGTTACTGCAGGCTAAAAAGTAAAAAACACAGGGTAAAAACCACTTCTTTAAAAAAAACACAGTTTAAAAAACACAGTTACTGCAGGGAGTGAAAAGTCGGTTGTCGTAGGAAAAGCTTTTGGAGCTTCTTGCAGGAATCGAGGCAAAAAATTAAAAACTGAGTCCTCAAGTAGCCTTTTGAGCATTTTTACTTTCCCGTTATCCAAGGTGTAGCGTTCCTGCCTCCTGGTGAGTGTCTGCCATGTGTTTTGAAGGTGACAGACTTTCAGAGCTGGGTTTGGGGATACATTCCAGAGGGAAGCACAGCCAACCTCAACTCCTGCTCCACAGGGAACGAGACCCCTCCCGAGGCCAACTGACCCTACCCAAGGTCTGGGGCTGTCTTTTGGAGGTGATTGTCCCTCCAATTCCTTTCAGAGAGTTCCTAGAAGGAGCAGGTGGCAGGAGGTGTGAGGGGCTTCAGGGACAGGGGGATGTCCCACGTGGGGATGAGTTGCCCGTGGCTCTGCTGTGAGCTGCACACCTCGCTGGGATGTTGCTGTGACCACCACAGGCCGTGTTTCCTCCTTCAGCTGTGACACTGCTCTGCCTCTGTCTGTGTGTTTTGCCAGCACAAGTACGTTTCCATCTCGGATGTCCAGATCAAGAACGAGGAGGAGCTGGAGAAGTGCCCCATGTCTCTGGTAAGAAGAAAGTCGCTTCACCCCATCACCAGAGAGAAGATGGGAGGTTTCCAAGGTGTCACATAAATCCATTCTTATTTTTACTTCGTTTTCCCCTTGTTTTTAATGCTTCTTTGCCCTAGGGGGAAGAGGAAGTCCAAGAAACCCCTTGTGAGGTCTTGTACCGAGCAATGCTCTACAATCTCCCGCAGTACATGGTAAGCCCCCGTTCCTCAAAAGGAAGGAAGAGCTTTGGAGTAGGGAATGGTGCCAGTCTGGGAGCTGCAGAGCTCAGCATGGCAGGGTGCTCAGGACCTGGATGGTGAGATTTTGGTGGGAATCCTGAGCAGAGCTGGAAGGAAAGTACAGTCCAAGAGGAGGCATTTGGAGGATTCTGAGATGCTGATTGGGTCATGTGGGCTCTGTAGGGAGAGACAGAGATTTAAACATTTAAACTCCAGGTGTTCTTCGTGCTGTTTTACCTGCACTACCAGAGCTCAGGCACGTGTGATGCCTTAGGCTGAGGATCAAACAGAGCTGCTGAGCTCCCCACACTTGTCCTGTCTGAGGTTGAGTGTGGTCTGGTGAAACCCTGTAGAGTTGGCTTGGAGTTGTCCAGTTTTGGCAAGTGAAGGAGAAGGAAGGGATTCCCTTTCCTGGACCATCCCCTCACACCTGCCCTCTCCTGCAGATCGCTCTGCTGAAGATCCTCCTGGCTGCTGCACCCACCTCCAAGGCCAAGACTGACTCCATCAACATCCTGGCAGACGTGTTGCCTGAAGAGATGCCGTAAGTCCCTCGCCAGGTGGCCATCCCAGCCTTGCCACCAAGTCTCAGACCAAGCAGGAGAGCTGATAAGTTTGGGGGGCTCCAGATTTGGGGTATCTGTTTGGGTGGGTGTTAATTACTGTTGGCACCAGGGCAGAGCTGTCAAAGCTGAGGAAGTGACGCTGTGATGATGATTTGAGTGCAGCCACTCCGAGCTAGGTGATAAAGTGATAAATGATAAATGATAAAATCCTGCTAACTGGCCCAAATCATAAAGATGTGTCAGCATACCGGAGATGTCCTCCCTACCGCTCCGCCAGGATTCCTAGTGGAGGACAATCCACTTTTTTTTCCTCCTTTTTTAACGCATTTTGGCCTCACCAGGTGGGATGGGTGGAAATGGGAGTGCCGTGGGGAGCGAAGGTCCTTGGTTTCATGGAGCTCATCCAGACAAACGAGAACTCCGCAGTCCCTTCGGTCTCCCCTGTGCTGCCACAACCCCGCTGCTGTTTTTCCCTCCACCCCAGCATCACCGTCCTGCAGAGCATGAAGCTGGGCATCGACGTGAACAGACACAAGGAGATCATCGTGAAGAGCATCTCGGCGCTGCTGCTGCTGCTGCTCAAGCACTTCAAGCTGAACCACATCTACCAGGTGGGCCTACAAGAGGGGATGGCCGTTGCCGAGCTGGGCTTGAAGGTCCTGATAAGCCCTGTTCTGGGAGATTTCTGAGGAGAGTTTCCATTGAGGAGCTGTAATCACATTTCCATAGCTCCAGGATTTCTACAGGTTGTGCTTTGACAGCATCGTTCCTACTCATGTGGCAGGAGCTTTTAGACTTCCGGGAATATCCATTCAGGTTAAATTTAGCAGATAGCACGAGCCTCCCTGGCAGAAGGGGGAAGAGGAAGGGGATTAGGCAAGACTCTCTTTTGCTCTGTCATCTCCAATGCCCAGAAATAGTGCTGGGAAGGACCTCACGAGGTCACCTAATCTGGTTTTGGCAGGATCGGGTTCTTGGGGCTCCAGTTTCAACAGAGGCAGGAGATCTGGGTCATAGTTGCAATCTGATTTTTGTTCCCAGTGTGATTTTTGTTCCATCTGCATGGCACCAATCAAACTGCACCCACTCCAGGGTTTTCCTTTGTTAAAAAAACCCAAGGACTAATATGAGCTGTGGCCCAGTTCTCCACTCGTTCTGCAAGTCAAACAATTAATGTTTTCTAATTTTTTCTAAAGCTTTCAGCACGCTACAAATCCCTCTGATATTTAACTGAGGATAAATATAAATCCACGTATCGGATTGGGTAAAATGAAACCAACTCCCACATTTTTACAATCCTACATTTGTTCCGCTCCCCCCTCCACATCCCTTCATTTATTTTTCTCACTTCAAAGCAGCTCCTTTCCTTTCTTCCCCCCCAGGCAGGAGGGCCATTGCAGCCTGCTGCTGAGCCTGGAGAAAGCTGCAGGGTTCCATCCCCCTGATTCTGCTTTTTTTTTTTGGGTTTGATCTGGGTGGTTTTGTTCTTTTGGTGATAAAGGTGGTCTGAGGGAGCACCATGAGAACTCCAGCAGGTCTGAAATGAAGGAATCGCTGAACCACGGAGTGCTTTGGGTTGGAAGGGTCGATTACTCACCAGCACATCCCAGCCCTGTGTCATTTGTGGTGTTGTGTCATCTGTGGTGTGCCAAAGCCGACAGCTGGCACCGGGCTGAGATGAGAACAAACTGTTCCTTCCCTCTCAAATTGGAGATCTGGATGGAGAGGCATGGGAAGGGCAGGGATAGGATTGGGTTTGCTGCAGTTTGTATCTGTAGAGGATGGGAGAGATTTGTTGTATTATTGAACTGTGGAGTGGTTTGGCTTGGAAGGGATCTCAAAGACCATTTAATGCTTTGAGGCAGAGAGAAATTAAAAGCAAGTAGGAAAATAGTGATATTATTTCAATCAATATTTCTAAGGGAGCTGGGATTAGTGTGTGAGAGCAATAGGAATTATTGCATTTCCTTATTTAATAGCTACAACTCCTTCCCTCTTCCCCACACACTGTTTTACCAGATTTAATTTTGAAAAGCCAAGAGATGCAGCTATTCCTAAAGCACTGCCGTGAAGTTTGTGTGTCATCTCTATGGCAAATGGAATTTCCCAGCTGCTGTGCATGACCTTACACAGCAAGCTTCGGGGAGAAGATGGTCTGTGAGGCCAACATTCCCAAGTTCTTAGCTTTTGGCTGGAAAGAGGTTTCCGTTCCCAGGTGGTGCTCCCAGCTGTCCCAGCTGACGCTGACCCGTTTTCCCTTCTCTCCCCCAGTTCGAGTACGTGTCCCAGCACCTGGTGTTTGCCAACTGCATCCCGCTGATCCTGAAATTCTTCAACCAGAACATCATGTCTTACATCACTGCCAAAAACAGGTACAGCCGCAGCGACAGAGAGGCGATGGGGCAGGAAGGCTTCGTGCTTGGGGAGCCCCCAGGTGACCTCAGACGGCTTTGGGGTGTCCTGCCCACTACAGAAATATGCAGAGGGAGCAAATCCCTTTGGCGTGATGAGGATGACTGGATGCTGGGTTTCCAATCTCTGATTGGGTTGATGAAATAGAACTAAAATAAAATAGGCTTTGTCTTTAAAATCAAGTAGTTTACATCTTCACATGGACTCCTGGGGAGCCATGCAGGGCCACCAGCATGGCATCAAGGCCACATAGGGTGGGATCTTCTAGGTCTTTCCCACTTTTTTATAACTGTAATTCAGTTTTCCTGACTCCTTCATGGTTGAAGTCATGGTGAAGGAGTCAACCTCCACTCTTTCCATGGTTGTCACTGCCTTTTACTGCTGGTCTGAGAGAGGCACCAGCCCCGTTTTAAGCAGGGCACTGTCTGGACCCCCATGGATCAAAGACCTGAGACAGCACAGATCTTCCACTGCTCACCAGGGCAGGATTTCCCTGTTTGGAGAGGAGCTCCACAGGGACGTTGGAATGATAAAAAATATCCTTTTTCTTCCTTTTTGATGCTCTTTTTGTTGCTCTTCAGCTGTGTGTGTAGGCTGGTCTGTCTCCTGCACGGTATGGTTGTGTCTGTGTGAGGAGGCACGCATGGGAAAAGAGGAAATAATATGTTGATCCTCCTGCTATAAATATTTCCACTTTTGGTCCTGTGCTTTAAGTGAGGAGGAACCGTATGCCAGGAGCGCTCAGCTCCCTCCTCTGCTCTGGGATGGAGGTTTCACAGGCAGGATACGCACCTGTGAGTGAGGTGGGATGTGCAGCTGGGTGCTCTGAGCCAGGGAGGTGTAAATTCCAGTTTTGGGTGTATTTAACTGACTACTTTTACAAATCCCATAGGCCTGGAGGCCTTTGAAAAACCTGAATATTCACTCACCATGAATTTCCTTGCTGCCAATCACACACCTCCCTTTGAACCTCAGATCTATTTTGTTTACTTCCCCCCCCCCCACACACTTCTTAAATATGCATATGAATAACTCATCTGTCCTTTCTTAATGGATGCAAATCCTTCGAGTCCTTATTAATGCACTCAGGATGGAGCTTTGGAGCCAGGAGGTATCGATGTGCTCCATTAAGCTGAGGGGTGAGGCGGTGCTGAGGCTGGGATCCCGTTTGGTTGCTGTCTGTGCCGGAGGGAGACGCGTCGGCACGGCTGCTTCGCGTGCTGGAGATGGGATTGTTCCCCACCCAAATCACTTGTTGCATTTCCAGGCACAGAGCAGGAAAAATGTTACAGATTCCCGGTAGAGATCATCTTCAAAATTTCTCTCGTGTTAATTGGTTGCTATTAATGAGCCCCTTCTTTCCGGTTTTCTGCAGCATCTCCGTCCTGGATTATCCGCATTGCACGGTCTGTGACTTGCCCGAGCTCACGGCAGAAAGTCTGGTAAGCAGCACAGAAAGGGTTTTTGTGGCCAGGATTGCTCTATGTGACAGCGTGAAGAAGGATTTGAGTTTTCTATTCTCTGTCTTCTTTTTCTGTAACCCCCAACCTTTCCAAAATTAGATTTACTTTTTTTCCCCCTCCAGGCTTGAAAATTCCTCCCATCACTATTCTGAGTCAGTGTCAGCTGCGGGGAAGTGGGGAAGAGGCACTGCTGCTGTTGGGCACCCCATAAAAATAGCTGAGTTTAGGATTTTCCCTTTGACAGAACAGAATCACAGAATTCCAAGATCATTGTGGTTGGAAAAGACCTCCAAGATCATCAAGTCCAATCTTGTCCCCAGCCCAGAGCCCTGAGAGCCACATCCAGGAATTCCTTGGACACCTCCAGGGATGGGAACTCCAAACCTCCCTGGGCAGCCCTTGCCAAGGCCTGACCATCCTTTCCATATGAAATTCTTCCTGAGCCTCCCTGGGCACAGTTTGAGGCCCTTTCCTCTTGTTCTGTCAAGGCAAAACTCTTCTGCTTTGAAAGAGACTTTACCCAGAGGCTGTTTCCTCCCAGGTTTCAATTGCTCTGAGCACTCCTGTTTTATCAGATACCGGTTTAAGGAATGAACCAAACTCCCTATGGAGAGGAGCCTTAAGTATTCCAGAGACTGGCCCTTTGCCAGGGCTGGGCAAATACACAGACTTCAGGTGGGAAAATAACCCTGGCAGGTTCATAACTACAATAATTCCAGTGCAGAGGAGGTTGGACTCGGTCAGCACAGGGGAAAGCTTTGGAGTTAACAGGAAATAATGGACCAGGAATCATTAAAAAGGATCCTGAGCAAATCCAGTCTGGGCAGGGATGATCTCATGGTGCTGCAGCAATCTGAGGCCTGTGTTGTTTTCCTGAGGTGTGTAAAGGTCAAAATCATCAGAGGGAAAGATTTTCCCTCAGTCCAGGGGCTGCTGAAGGCTGGGTGTCCCCATCCAGCCCTGCCAGACTCCGTGGTATCCTGGACCGATGGGGACATCTAGTGACACATCACTGAGGGCTCCGTGGCTCGTGCTAATCCTCCCAATCAGCCTTTAGGCTGTCAGAGAAAACTGAATGTTTTTAGGGAAAATATTCCCAGTAGGGTCTTGACAGTTTGAGAGCTGTCACCTTCAAGGACATCACCTTTCACTTTCCTCCAGCAGACGTGGATGTTATCCCCAAGGGAGAGCAATTTAATTAGAAAATACGCTGCAAACAACTTGAATTTTGCCACGAGGGTTGGTCTTTGGGAGGATACCCGTGGAGATATGGATTTAATAGGAATTAGACACACCCTGGTACTCGAGGTGTATATTTTTGTATTCCTTCAGCCAGCACTTCATGTGTTGTTTTAGCTTTTTTTTTACCACTCTGATGAGCGATTTTAACATCTCAGCTTAACACATTTCTTAGAGGATGGAACAGATGATTCTGCTCTCAGTGGGTTGAGCACAGTGATGTGTGTCTGGGTTATCCCAAGGAGAACCAGGATGAGTCCAGCACTGCTGTCTCACCAGGAGGGGCCTGTGGGGTAATTGCTGTCCCTACCTGGAGTAAATCAGGAGTGGCTGAGGTGGTGAGGGATTCACCCACTCTCTTCTGAGAAAGGCTCTTCGAATCCTGGCCAGTCCCCATCTCCCCTCTCCTGTCACTCCAGAGGGGTCTGCAAAGGGTTTCATCCATCCCTTAGAAAGGGTATTAAAGTCTGTTTAGCCTGTCCTCTCCTTCCATAAATCTGGTGGAAAGAACCTTACCCTACTTGAAGAGACAACATCAGACTGGTGACAAATAAATCCAGCCTAAGAAATGGATATTGGCTTATATGGGATCTTTGGGAAAATTTCTTGGTGTGGAGGGCGCAGGTTAGGCCTGGGCACGATGTGACACTGCAGGGCCACTGCAGTTTGGGACCCCCAAAGCACCAGACAGCATCCACGAGCACCTCAGTGACATCCAGGTGACATTCCGGTGACATCCCACCTCTGGATGCCTCTCGGGCACTGGAAGGAGCTGCCCAGGGAGATTTGGAGTCCCCACCCCTGGAGGGGTGGCACTCAGGGCTCTGGGGACAAGGTGGGGATCAGGCACAGCTTGGACTCGGTGACCTTGGAGAGCTTTTCCAACCTCAGGGATTCCTTGATTCTGTTTGGCACTTGCCTTTAAAAGCAAAGTTGTGCTGGTGGGATTTTCTTGGGTAAATCTGCTTTCAAAGCTGGATTGGACACTCTGACAGAAGGGCTCCCCCAAACTCTTCCCGAGGGTGCCCAGATCCTGGAATGGGTTGAGGTTTAGCCCCGAGATAAGAAGGCTGTAGCTGGCTGTGAGTGGTTTATAAATTCAGCAGCCCTTGTTTTGCACTAATCCCCAAACTGGATTTTTGTGGGATATTTCTCCCATGCTTGGAGTTGTTCTAACATGGAGCAAGTTCCTGCAGTGGTGGGATTACTGCTCAAAGTGCCATGGGCATTATTTCCACAGGCTGGAGCTGGGGTGTTTACAGTTACTGAATATTTAAAACAATGTCTCAGCAGCACTGAAGCTGGAGGGGATTTTTTGTTACAGAAAGGTCTCGTCCTCTTGATACAAACGTTGCTATTTGTCATCCTGTGTTGATTTGTGATTTCCTTTTCCCAGTCTGTAGTGTGTGCCCTAAGCAAGAATTAATTTATACCGTTACCAAAAGCAGTGGTGATCACCAGGCTGCAATTTGCTCTCTGGCTGTAAACAAGGAATACAAATCTACCACAAAATATATTTCCCATGATAGAATAATGGGATTTATCCCATTGTTAGCTCTTACTCTAAATTAAAAGCAGATTAAAATTGGAGTGTTTCAGAATGGCTTTCCCCAGAATCTGCTGATGATAACCCAAGTGAGGAGACAGCTCTGCCACTTGTCCTCCCTCAAAAACATGACTTATGCAGACAATAAAAATAAAGATTTCTGCCCAAGGACATCTCTGTGGCGGTGCTGATGAACGCTGTGGTCAGGGTTGCACTTCTCCCCTTGCAGGAAGCTGGAGACAACAACCAGTTCTGCTGGAGGAATTTGTTCTCTTGCATTAACTTGCTGAGGATCCTCAACAAGCTGACCAAGTGGAAACACTCGAGGACAATGGTAAGGGGGTGTCCCCCTCCTTGAGACCCTCCAGCGTTTCACCTGGAGCACGTCCCTGGCTCTACACAGCAAGTTCAGCCCAGCCTTGTGCTCAGGATATCTTGTGGAAGTGCTGCAGTTTCTGCTCTTCATCCTCTTCCCTTTTTCCTTCCACAAACTGAGCCTTAAATGCAGAAATACTTTTTCTCCCACAAATAACATTATTTCTACCACCCTCAAGCCCCGTGCAGAGGGCGTTGCTCGTGCTGGGCGCTCCCGTTCTCCCTCCTGGGGGTTTGTGGCGTACGAGGCCGAGGTGTCGGTGCCCGAAGCGGCACAGACGGCGTCAGCTCCGCTCTAATTCCCCGATTTCCCATCAGATGCTGGTGGTGTTTAAGTCAGCCCCGATCCTGAAGCGCGCTCTGAAGGTGAAGCAGGCCATGATGCAACTCTACGTGCTCAAGCTGCTGAAAATCCAGACCAAGTACCTGGGGCGGCAGTGGAGGAAGAGCAACATGAAGACCATGTCTGCCATCTACCAGAAGGTGCGGCACCGCATGAACGACGACTGGGCCTACGGCAACGGTGAGTCCTGCCCGGCCTCGCCCCTCTGACAATTGGCTTCCAAATTTGGCTTCTAAAATTGTCGCTGTCGGGGATTTTTTTGGGAAGTTTTATGGCACCGTCGGATGTAGAGCTTATGAAAGCCAGATTTGAAATTAATGGGATTTTTTTTTTTTTCATGTTTAGGTGATATGGGATAATGTCGTGGTTAGTGCAGCTTTTCAGCGTTGTTTATAGTTATATTTGCTCAGATTTTGGAAAAAAAAAATTGGTTAGGAGCTCATAATAAGCTCACCAGGTTTTAAATGTTTTAAATGTCGATCCTTGCTTCAGTGGTCAGTGGAGATTTTCAGTGAAAAGTGAAATTAAAAAAGGAAAATAGAAAAGTGAAATAATAAATAAGAAAAATAGAATAAGAATAGAATAAAAATAGAATAAGAACGAGAAGATATTTATAAATAGAATGAAAATAAGAACATAATAAGAATAGAATAAAAATAAGAAGATATAAATAGAATAAAAATAAGAATAGAATAAGAGTACGAAGATATTTATGAATAGAAGAAAAATAAGACTAGAAGAAAAATAAAAATATATTGATAAATAGAATAAAAATAAGAATAGAATAAGAATAAAAATAGAATAAAAATAAGAAGATATAAATAGAAGAAAAATAAGAATAGAATAAGAGTAAGAAGATATTTATAAATAGAATAAAAATAAGAATAGAAGAAAAATAAAAAGATATTGATAAATAGAATAAAAATAAGAATAGAAGAAAAATAGAAGAAAAATAGAAAAGTGAAACTAGAAGTGAGGTCTTTGTGGAAAAAAAAGCCAGGGGTTGGGTAATTATAAAGTCCTTAAAGCAGGAAAAACTACATTTTTATGGGCTATCTTAAATTAAAATACACACATAGTGGGATTTGGTTAGCAATAATAATAATTAGGAGTGCCTCTGGTTAATCCACTTGAAACCTTCAGCCTTTCTTTTGCTCAGACCTTGTCAGAGCGATGCTTTCCGCGCTATTTGGGTGCTGTTCCTCCCTCACCGCAGATATCGACGCCAGGCCGTGGGATTTCCAGGCTGAGGAGTGCACGCTGAGGGCCAACATCGAAGCCTTCAACAGCCGCAGGTACGACAAGCCGCAGGACTCGGAGTTCGCCCCGGTGGACAACTGCCTGCAGAGCGTGCTGGGCCAGCGCCTGGAGCTGCCCGAGGACTTCCACTACTCCTACGAGCTCTGGCTGGAGCGGGAGGTGTTTTCACAGCCCATTCGTTGGGAGGAGCTGCTGCACTGCCAGTGACCCCGAGAGGAGCATTGGGTTGGATATGGGGGGGTTTAAGCACAGCTGGGGATGAAAATAAATAAATTTAAACTTTCCAAAGAGACCAAGTGTCTCTGTGCCTAGCAGACACCTCTTTTTGGAGGCTCCTGTGGGTTCTTGGAGGCTGGAAAGTGTTGGCAGAGGGCATGGAGCAGGTTGCAGAGTGAGCTCAGGTCTGTCTCTAAGCTTGGTGTAAGGATTCCAGCTGGGAATTCCATCCCTCCCACGCTGTTCCTCGTTTGTTTGGATCTATTCGGTTCTGGCTGGCTGCTGATGTGCTCCCAACAGCAGCCCCGGGGTCCCAGGAGCACAGCTTGGCTTGGGACGGAGACAACATTCTGTCTTGTCCCTGGCTGAGAGTCCTGGTGCCACCAGGGACGGGTCCTGCGTGGTCCCCTGGACACCCACCCGTCACCTTTTCACTGCTGCTCTCCTTCACTCACCTTTATTAAACCACCCTGCTGTGCTGGGCAGCGTTTAGAGCTTGGAGGTCCCATTTCTCTGCCCCTTTCTCTCTCCCTCTTCAGCCCTGAGGAGACAACAAATACCACTTTAATTAATCCCTTAATCACTTTTAAATAATGTTAAATTTTAACACAGATCTTTGGTTGTTTGGGGGAATGTCTGTGCCAGGTGGGGAGGGAAATGTGCTTTGGTGAAGGATTTGTGAGGAAAAGAGTGGATTCTGTGGTCCATAGCTTTCAGAATGAATAGGATACTGAGCTGTAAATTTTGTATCGATTTAATAACTTAATATTTAAATTAAATAATGAACACTACACTTGGTTAAACCAGCGCGTTGCATGAGGGTGGCATTTGTCAAAGCATTGTGTGTTCATATAGGGCAGGGAGGCCCTAAATAAACAAGTGTTTGTTATGGCAGGATTTGTGCTAATTGCTTAAATAATTAATTAACCTGGGAATGTTTCCTTCATGGGGTTTGTCCAAGGCCTTGTTCATGGAAGTGGCATTAAACCTTTTAAAACCTTTCAAAATACGCTTTTGCTCAAAATAAACCAACTTTTAAAGGACAGCTCTTTAATTAAGCTTTTTCTTCCCGTGTCTTAATTTAAATGCTTCTTTTTTATTATTTTTTTTAAGGACAAAAACGTCCCCCAAACTCAGCCCTCACCCCTGCCCATCTCCACTCAAGGGGAAATTAAACAAATTACTAAAGTAACTTAGAAAAGCCAAAAACCCAAAGTATTTGGTTTAAACCCTTTTTTCCCCCCTAAAGTGTCTTTTTTCTCCACAGTATGTTGAAAAGAAAAAATAACCAGTACATACCCAACGTGCATTTTCCTATATTTTATATTTAAATTGTGCTTTTCAGTGCCTGTTATTTTTACTGAGAGAGATTAGAAACACAAATTCTTACCTGAATGTCTGGGTGGTGGAGGATGAGACAAACTTATCCTGGACTAAAATTTATTCACACCATCACCACCAAATTTTCTGCTTCTCAGAGAGAGATCTCCACAGAAAACGTGAACCTCTGCAAAAAAAAGTGACTTAGGGAGAGGCTACACCTTTATTTGAAATATTTATGTCCCATCCTGACAAACAAGCAGCAGTTTCAAACTTTTTTTGCTTCACAATGAGGATTTTCTCCTCTTTAAAAAATTCTCAAAAGAGCTGGGGGGCAGCAATTAAGGAATAATAATTTTATATGTTCAGCAAGGCAGTTTCAGAACCAAGTTTTGGGTGGTTTCTGCACAGCTGGAGGAACATCTGTTATCTCACCTCAACAGGACTGTTGGTTCCAGGAACCCTCCAGTGTTCCCAGTTCCTGTTGTAATTGCAATAAAGAAGTTGTTTTTTTTTTTGTTTTCACCCTACAGGTGGTTGATGAAGGTTTTGCTATGGGTAAGTCCTTTCCTTCAGCACCTCAGCACAGATTATTCTGTTTTCTTGTCGATTCTTCCCATTTCCTAGGGATGTAAAACATATGGAATTGAGTTATTAATTTCTCACTCTTCTCTAAGCAACTTCCGAGCTGGTTGGTGAATTTAATGGAAATTTCAGTGAAGGATAAAAGGCTACAAAGACACAAAGTTCCTTTCAGAAGTGTAAAAAGAGACAGTGATGCCAAAAAGAAAAAAAAAAGGGGGGGGAGGGAATTTAGCTTTTATCCATTCAGTTTGGCAGTGTTAAAAATAAATACCCCTCCTTTTTCTCCTGTGTCCTAACTGACTCTGTATTTATCCACATGTAACCACAGAAATGACTGTATGAGGTCAGGCTGATTATACTCTGGAGTTTGAGAAGCTTCCCTTAATAATTTATCAAAGCCTTGCATGTGTAAACAGCAGCTTGTTCTGCAGCCAAGTCCAAGCACTGTCACCAAACATTACACTTGACAGCACAGGACGATTTTTGTCTCCTTGACTGAACATTTCACCGCTCTGCACCTTCATTTTTGCCTCAATAATTATGATGTGGCCTCCTGACAGTCGTCTTTGCTAAAAGGAGATAATTAGTGTAATTACGATTGTTTCTTTTGTGCCGTGTGGTTTGTTAATGCAAATGACACAAAATTTCCCTGAACAAAGTGGAAATCAGGGTTGTTGGTCTTTTTTTCATTTTTCTTTCATTATCCAAGAGTCATTCATGAGAATTTTATTCCCAAATCCACAGACTTTTCTCCTGAGCTACTCTACCAAGTCTTTTTATTAGGGAAGAAGGAAGTTTCCTTATGCAGCAGAGAGCACGTTTAGAGAGGTTAATGTTAAAGATAAAAATAAACCCATGATCTAGGCAGACTTGCTGATGTGTTTGTTGGAGTTTGGCAATACTGCCATTATTTTTTTCTATGAGGGATTTCAGCTCCTACTGATATTTTACACTTGCGCCTATTTTTTTAGTGCTTTGCAAGTGAAAACCTGGTGCTGAGGCATCAGGAGAGACTCCTCTCTCCTATATTTTTTTCCCAAATTTAAAAATCACCCTGCCTTTAGAAGCATTACTATCCTTGGATAAAACTGTTGTGTCTGAAAAAGGTGCAGAGAACAAAATGAACCCTTCATGTCCTTATTCCTCCCTCAGACCCCTCCACCTCCATCTATTCCCTGCATCTCAAGCCTCAGTTTATGGGAATTTATTGGAAATATTCAACCTCCATTACATGTCATTTTTCAGGGCCTGTTGTCCGGAGCTGTGGCTCTGCAAGGAGGCAAAGCAGAGGTTGTTTTTTAAATATTTTTGTGGTGAAGGAAGCTGAGTCAGGTATTTAAACAGACTCCCCCGTGTCACGCAGCAATAACGTGAATATTCCACTAATAGTCCACCAAACGCCAATCTTTCCAAGACCTTTGGGAAAGCACGACTTGTTCCACTCCTCCTCGCAGCTCGAAGTTGTTGTGCTGGGGGTTTTCTCGCCTCCTTGTGACATTTCCCTGGGGCTTTTGGCTGTGGGTGGGACAAGGGCGGTAATGGCGGTGGCCGCCCCCCTCAGGCCCCTCATCCCCCCTCAGAGCTTTTCCCGCCCTTTTCCCCACGGCTACCGCCGCGGCGGGAAGCGCGCGCGGGCACCGCCCCCCGGCAGCTGATTGGGCAATGGGAGGGCTCGTCAGTAGCGGATTGGACATCGAGCTGTCAATCAATATCAGACCACGCCCCCAAGGTCGCTATGACAACGCGACGCTGAGGGGAAGGAGAGGCGGCCATGGCGGCTCTGCGGGGGAAGAGGGGTCGGGATCGCTGAAGAGCCGCCGTGATGTGGGCACAGGAGGGTGAGATTCTGCCATTTCTACACGGGGCGGTGAGGCAGGTGGAGCTGGGGCAGCCGCGGGAGAAAAGGAGGTTCAGGAAGGACCTGCTCGCTCATTACAACTCCCTGACAGGAGGGTGCAGCCAAGTGAGGGTCGAGCTCTGCTGCCAGGGAACAGGGATAGAACAGGAGGAAACAGCCTCAAGTTGTGACAGAGGCTGAGGCTGGATATGGGGAAAATTCCTGCCCTAAAAGAGTTTCCCAGCCCTCGCACAGCAGCAGGGTTGGATGGAGTCCCCAGTCCCGGAGGGATTTCAAAGCCATGTGGATGTGGCACCTGGGGACACCTGGGGTCGGTGGTGGCCCTGGCAGCGCTGGGGAGCGGCTGGACTTGGTCTTGGAGCTCTTGTCCAGGATTCTGTGATTGTAAACCTCGAGGGCTTTGCCGGAAAGCTCAGAGTCTTGAAATTTGACAATTAGCAGCTGATTTCACAGGTGAGTGTCAGCTTTTAGGGATGACCCGCCTCGACCTGTTTTTGCAAGGGAGTAACTATTTTTTCCCTTTTTTGCTTCGAAGTTTAGTGGGGACCTACACAGACACAGGAGCTTTATACTGTGTAACTAACCGTGTAATTTTGTGTTGTAGGATCCATCTCCAGGGCTTGATGTGGAGTCCTGGCCGCTCTGTGAAAAGACTCAGCCATGGTAAAACACCTTTGATCCTTCAGAAGTGTTGATAACACTTTTTTAAGGAAAAGGGTTAATATGCAAAAGGTTCCTTCCCACAGCTGCAGGACAGAACTGACCTGCCCAAATTACCTTTGTGTTCAAGTGTAAACCTAATTCTGATTTTTTAGCTTTTCTTGTTCTTGGCTTCAGGCTGTAAAATTTTGTACATAGCATATAGAGCCTGCAAGCTCTGTCTTTTATATTTTTATATATTTTATATATATCAAATCTTTTATATTTGGGAAGATCAGCTACAGGCTGAATTCCTACCAGGAACCTCCAAGTGCTCACAAAATCCACCAGAGACACTGGGCAAAGAAGGAACGGGACTCAGGTGGCTGGCTGGCTACAAAATCTGGCACAAGCATGTCCCTGTGAAGGGAGCACATTCCAGCATGTAAAGTTCCACAGATTTCCACAAATTCTCTCCGATTAAGGTGTGTGAAAGAGGCTTGTTGCCATCCCAAACCTATGTCTGAGCTCAAGTAGTTTCATTCTGCAAATAATCTGCCATCAGCTGCAGTTTACACTCTTATTTTCTCTCTTTTTTGCTTCTGTAATAGAGGGTCTGTATGTTTCACATAGAAAATTTGATTTATTATTTTTTCTTTAGCTGTTCACATTCTTTCATGCTGTGGTCCCGGCTGATTCTGAGGATTTTGCCCTTTACTCTGTTCTCACACCTCAGAGCACAAATGTTTGTCTCTTTTGCGCTTAGTGCTGAGCTGTGACGGGAGTTTTTAGAAATGATGACATGGAAAATGTGCTACGTGGGTTTGGGTTTGTGCAACCACCAGTGGTGGGAGAGCAGCTCCATCCCAGCTCTGTGGAAGCTGTGGGAGGGAGTCCTGCTTTCCTGATTCAAGAGTCACAAGCAGGCACACAGGAATGGATGAACACAGGCAGAGTTACTTCAGGATTGCATCCTCGTGTAGTAATTAAAAAAAAACTCCAAACAATAGGGGGAAAAGAACTTTTGTGCGCAAACCTTTTTTTTTTAGCCAAATGGAAGCACAGGGGGATGATGATGAACTCAGTCTCATAGCTTTTGAGGTTCTCACAGCAGAGCAAACAGGGCTTGGATGAATTAATTAATTGATTAAATTTAATTAATTAAAATTGTATTAATGCTTGTGAATCCTTACATAAAAATCACCACAAAGTGATTTTTTTGGGTCTGGGTGAGGGGCTCTGAGCTAATGCTGCGAGCCAGGACTAAGATGGAACAAAACAGCTGCTCTGGGATGTCTTGGGATCATGGAATCATGGAATGGTTTGGGCTGGAAGGACCTTAAAGCTCATCTCCTTCCAACCACATTCTGCTGTCCCAGGCTGCTCCCAGCCCCAGGCTTCAGCCTGCCCTTGGCCAATTCCAGGGATCCAGGGGCAGCCACAGCTGCTCAGGAATTCCTTCCCCAGACCCCATCCATCCATGCCCTCTGGCAGCGGGATCCATTCCCTGTGTCCTGTCCCTCCAGGCCTTTCCCAAATTCCAGCTCTCCTGGAGCCCCTCCAGGCCCTGGAATGTGCTGGAAGCTCTCCCTGGAGCCTTCTCCAGGCTGAGCACCCCCAGCTCTCTCAGCCTGGAATCCTCCACCCAAAAGTGAGACAGCAAAGACCCAAAACTGAGTGGGTTTGTGGTCGTTTTCTCTCCGCAGGCGGGCAAAGCCAAAAAACGCAAGGGTGGGAAAGGCAGAAGATCCAGAAAGGGTGGAAAGAAGCAGGTGAAAGGAGTGGATCTCTTCAGCCCAGCTGCCATGCTCAACGCTTACTACATCTCTCACAATGCCGCTGCCTTCCTGGAATTCCAGGGCTATCCCTGGCCTGGCTCTCTCAAAAAGAAGGGGAAGAAAAAGAAGTGAAAATCAAACCCCCCGTGAAGACCTTGCTTTGTGATTAAATCCACCCTAACCTCTGCTGTGGTCAGCTGAAATATTTTCTGTGTCCAAAGGCACTTTTATGGTGGATTGTGCCCAGTAAGGAGTGGCAGGGGACACTGTGCCATTGTCACTCCAGCTGTGGCCCCTCAGCCTGAGGGATGGAGTGCTGTGCCTCGGCAGGGCTGGGTTTACCCACCCTGCTGCCATTCCTTATGGATGGGATGAGTCCCTGAGACCTCCCTGAGACCTCCCTGAGCTCAGGAGGGATTGAAGGAGCTGTGTGAGGATAAGCTGAGGGAGCTGGAAAGGGACTCAGCCCGGAGAAAAGGGGGATCAGGGGGAATTTCTGGCTCTGCACAACTCCCTGCCAGGAGGGGACAGCCGGGGGGGATTTGGGATCTTATCCCAGGGAACGGGGACAGGAGGAGAGGGAATGGCCTCAGGATGGGCCAGGGGAGCCTCAGGGTGGGCAGCAGCAGGAATTTCCCCATGGAAAGGGTGGCCCTGGAAGTGTCCAGGGAGGTTTGGAGTGCCCATCCCTGAGGGTGTCCAAGGAAGGGCTGGAGGTGGCACCCAGTGCTCTGGGCTGGGGACATGGTGGGGTCAGTCACAGCTTGGACTGGATGATCTTGGAGGTGTTTTCCATCCCAAATGATCCTGGGAATGTGATTTAGGCCTTGTCAGGGACTCTGTTACACCCAGCAGAGTGGTGATGGCTGTCACTCACTGTCACCATTCTCAGCCCAAACATCCTGGCTGGACACCACAAGCTCCATGTCACAGCTCAGTGTCACTTGTGCTGCATTTCCTCCACGGGAGTTCAACACAGCCCTGGGGAAATCATGAAGCACCACCTTGAGAGGAGCTGTGCATCTCTCCCAGGCCTTTCCACCCCTCCAGCTTCCAGTTCCTTCCAGTTCCAGGTAACAGCCAATTATTGTCAAAGCAAGCCAATAAATCCTGTTTCTCCAGCCTAAAACTTTCCCTTTCTGAGGAGTTTTTGACCAGGGAAAATCATAACTGGTGGCATTGCTTGTCAGCCAGCTGCTGTCATTTGTAGCTTGCTGCAAACTCCACTGGGTTTGTTTTACCCACCCTAGAAAGCTAAGGGTAAAATTGATGTTTGGGGGGAAAAAATTAAATATATATATTTATTAGAAAGGTTTATTTAAGAGCAATTTGGTTGCAGAGGAAAACAGCCATGCAGCCATTTTGGCTGTTATTATCTACAGTAATATGACAACACAGAAGCATTAAAGTAACACTTAAGAAAACGTGATACAAGAAAAAGAGGGAAAGGATAAGAGGAGAAAGATCTCACCACCCACAGGTCTCGTGGTGAGAATTGGTTGTTGCAATCTCACTGTCTGTTGCTCCAACTGGTGGTCACAGAGCGGATCCACCTGGGGATGAGGGGAAATCCCGAAGAGGTGTCGGGAGAAATGCACAGAACACGAAAATCTGGGTTTGTATTCACTCCAGGTGCCTCCCCTGGAGCGGGGAGTTCCATCACCCTGGATGATGGAATGTTGTGGGACACTTCGGGCCTCTTTGACACCTTCAGAGATGATGCAGCTGCCTTTTGTATCGGCACAGTTCAGTCCCTGTGACCCATGATGGCCCTTTATGGCCGAGGTGAACGCCTCGGGGCTAGCTGTGAATATCCCGATATTCCAGGGCAGGGGAATTATCCCAGCAGAGTTCCCTGGAGCAGGGACAAAGAGGCAGTGTCCTTGATAAAAAACTCCCTTATCAGTTTGTGGCCTTTGCACATCGTAACTCGCCCTTGATTGTTTGAGCTGGCAGCATCAATCTCTCTTCCAATATCCGGTTCTTCTTCCCAGATCTGGGATAATTGGATGAAAGTACCGCCTTTGTCTTATCCCAGCTTCAAAATCCAGCATTCCACTTAGAGGTGTTTGGGGAGGGGTGGCTCTGGTGGTCACAGCTGGACAGCAATTCCAGTTTGCCACAGTGGGCTAAAGCACTTTGATGATTTTAGCAATGTCTAAGCCACAAACCAGTCTCTCACAACATGTCGAGAAAGTCACCACGGGATGGAAAAGCTGGGAGCTGGAAAAGATCACCAAGTCCAGCCATCAACCCAGCACTGTGTTCTCAGGAAAATCACCACAGGATGGAAAAACTTGGAGCTGGAAAAGATCACCAAGTCCAATAATGAACCCAGCACCGTGTTCTCAGGAAAATAATCACAGGATGGAAAAGCTCAGAGCTGGAAAATATCACCAAGTCCAACCATCAACCCAAAGTCCAGCCATGACCCCAGCACTGTGTTCCCAGGAAAATCACCACGGGATGGAAAAGATCACCAAGTCCAGCCATCAACCCAGCACTGTGTTCTCAGGAAAATCACCACAGGATGGAAAAACTTGGAGCAGGAAAAGATCACCAAGTCCAGCCATGAACCCAGTACCATGTTCCCAAGAAAATAACCACAGGATGAAAAGATCACCAAGTCCAGCCATCAACCCAGCACCGTGTTCTCAGGAAAATAATCACAAGATGGAAAACTTGGAGCTGGAAAAGATCACCAAGCCCACCCATGAACCCAGCACCGTGATCTCAGGAAAATAACCATGGGATGGAAAAGATCACCAAGTCCAATAATGAACCCAGCACTGGAAGATAACCATGGGATGAAAAACTTTGAGCTGGAAAAGGTCACCAAGCCCACCCATGACCCCTGCACTGTGTTCCCAGGAAAATCACCACGGGATGGAAAAGATCCCCAAGCTCACCCACGACCCCAGCACCGTGTTCACGGTGTCCCTCAGGAGGGACGCCCAGGCCGCTGGATTTCCTGTTTCCCCGCTAACCAGCCGAGCTGCCCTGCTCAGATGCTGCAGGATGTGGTTTGCAGCTCTGGTTTGTTCCGAGCTGTACACCTACATCTCCTCCTCATCCCTCTCTCATGTTCTCGCTCCCCCAGCACCCACCAGGAAGTCTCTGGTCACAGCAGCTCGCAGCTATTTCCTCCAGTCATCACCCTTCTGGATCCAGACATCTCTTGCAACCTCCGTGTTCAGCATCTCCAGCTAAGAAATTAATTAAAAAACCAAAATATTTGATTTTTGTGTGATATATTTGCCACACAGTGCTATTAGGGATAGATGTTTCCAAGAGCTGAAGTAGGAACTGCTTATTGTGGTTAAGGATGGTTGAAAGTGAGCAAGGTCATTTTTATATCTGTGGTAAACTGGAGCTATAAGGGTGTCAAAACTCCCAAGTTCCAGTATCTGAAATTTACTGGAATATTTATTAGTTTGATATTAATATTATTAATATTATTAGTAAATTACAATATTTATTGTATATAAATATATACAATATATTTGTTATATTATATAGAATTAATTATATAAATATATAAATATATAAATATTTATAAAAATATAACATATATTTATATAAATATATAAATATATATAATATATATTTCTAAATATATTTATATATTTTTATTTATATAAAATCTATAAAGTACCTATTTTATATTAATATAAAATATAAAAATTAAATTAAATATAAAAATATAATATTAAAACTATTCCATTTCTAAAATATTAATAAAATTAATAAATCTTTTAATAAAATATTAAATATAATAATATTATTTGTTCCCTCTTACACAAAAATTATGATTTCAGCACGATGCCACTGGACACATCAGATGGTGACCAGTGAAGAGCAAAGATTTCAGTGGATCTGAAAAGTTGCCATTCACTTTTTTGACAGCAGATGAAAAAACCCTTCCCAACAACCCCAAAGTGAGAAATGAAACACTTCTTTTCCTTTTTCCCCCTCCCTCCTTTTTCCTTTTACCTCTCAGCTGAGTTTTGTGTGTAATTCCATATTTTGTGTGTAATTCCATCTCCTTGGTGGTAAATAAAGACATCTCTAAAGCAAAGTTTGGATTTCAAATGGTGGGATTTGCTTAAAAGTGTTGCAGGCTGTGCCATGACTTCCTGGTGAGTGCTGGGAATATTCAGGGAATTCAGGAGTTCTGCTTCTTTTAGGGCCTTCCCATCTCAACAGCCTCAAAACATGAAAGAATCCTGGGGAGAAAACACCTTGTTCCTTGATTTTTTAATTAATTTTTTTTTTTTGGCCACAAAAACTTTGTTAAAAAATATTTAATGATATTTAATTAAAAAATATTTAAATTTTTTAATTTTAATTTTAAATTTTTAATAATTTAAAAATATTTAATGATATTTAATGATTATTTTTAATTTTAAAATAAAATAGAGGCCTTTAAAATTGCTGTGTTCCTTAATTAAATAATAATTTATTTTTTTTTAAATTAAATAATTAATAAATATATTAATTTCTCTGACCCAAGGAAAAAAAAATTACTTAAATAATTAATAAATATATTTATTTCTTTAACCCAAGAAAAAAATTTTACTTAAATAATTAATAAATGTATTAATTTCTTTAACCCAAGAAAAAAAAAATCTACTTAATTAATAAATATATTCATTTCTTTAACCCAAGAATTTGGTTGAATTTGGTTCTCGGATGGGCTTTTCTGGGGTGCAGGATTTAAGCTGAGTTCATGATGAATAAATCCTGCTCTGCCCAAATTTTATTTTTGTGAGAGGAATCTGCAATTTGGAGATGCCCATTTTTATGGCACTGGGGAAATTGTGGTGTTCTGTGTGTCAGGCGTTGCAGGGAGTTAAATTTTTGTAGTTTTGGGGTTTCCTGTGCTCTGTTGCCTCACGTTTCCTGCAGGAAGTTGTGCAGCAGAACCCTGCTGTTAAAAATACAGGAGATGTTTGGGTGTGTGTGGGTGGGGAGAGTCACAGGATTGTTCTGTGATGAGAGTGGTAGAGATAAAAATATAAGTAATATAAATTATAAAAATAAATTATAAGTGTATATAATTATATAAGTATAAAATAGAAATATAAATATATAAAATATATTATATATAAATATAAATTATAAATTATCACTTATTATATATTATATCTTCTATATTATATATTATATCTTCTATATTATATATTATATCTTCTATATTATCTATTATCTATTATATATTATATATTATATTATAAGTTATAAATATAAATAATATAAAATGTAAGTATAAATATATAAAAAATAAATGTAAATATATAGTATAAATATAAGTGTAACTAGAGAAATATAAATTATAAAATATAAATATAAATTATAAAACAAAAAATATAAAATATAAACATAAATAACATAAATTATACAATATAAATATAAAATATATAGATAATAGACGGTAAATAATATAAATATAAATGATAAAATAAAATAGAAAAATATATATTATATATAATTTTATATATATATAAAATAATATAAATTATAATATCATATATATAATATAAATAAAATATATAATGTAAATTATACAATATAATTATATAATATAATTATAAAAATAAATATAATAAATATAAATATATATTATAAAATATAAATAATATAAATATAACTATAAACATATAAAACATAAATATATATTTAAGCATATAAAAATATAAATATAGAATATAGAGATACAAGTATAGATATAAAGATATAAATAATATAAATTATTTATATATATGATTTATATATAAATTATAATATAAATTATATAAGTTATACAATATAAATATAAAAATATAGATATAGATAAATATAAAGATAAATAGATATATAAATATAAATATAAATATACACAATTTGATAATAAATATTATTCACCCCATTTGGAATGAGGGTGTTTCACGCTTCTTCCTGTCCTTTCCCTTCCCTTCAGCCAGCATTTCTGGATTGCAGGGGTTTCTCCTTCCACATTATTTCTGGATTTCACAGGGATTTCACAGGGAATTTCTGGATGTGGAAGAAAGGCTTGGGAAGGGATCCTTTTGTCCCAGTTCACATTTGAGGAGCTGCCCTGGCTGTTCCCTCCCAGCTCCCGGGGAGGATGGAGAGCTGAGGACTCTCTACCTCTTAAAAGGAATCTCCATAACAAAGAGGTTCCCATTGAGAATTTTTAAAGGGGAACTTCCTTAAAAAAAAGAGTTTTTTAAAATATTGGCACTAAATCGTGTCAGCAGAGGGAAATAAAATCAAGTTTTCAGTGGTTATCTCCTCTATCCTTCACTCATTTTTCACTGTCCTCGCCTGGTGCCATTTCAAGAACATAAAAACCTCAATTTTACCATCTTCTAATAAATCTTTGCTTTGCAAACTTTCTGCATATTTTTTAAAAATGACTTAAGCTGGTTTTTTTCCCTCTCTTCTGCTTTTGTAGCTGCCATACAAAAGAGCAAAAGGAATGAAATTTTAGGACTGGCAGGAGTGGTTGTTGGGCAGGTTCCAGGACACCCGCAGGTACCAAAGTCTCCCAGTTCAACCACTGGGATGGGTTTGTTACATCCTGGTGTGTTCTCCACTGTGTAATTATCCAGTGCTTTCCTGGGAATATTCAGGGAATTCAGGAATTCTCCTTCTTTTAGGGCCTTCCCATCTCAACAGCCTCAAACCAAGAAAGAATCCTGGGCAGAAAACACCTTGTTCCTTGATTTTTTAATTTTTTTTTTTTGTTTGGGCTGCAGATAATTTTGTTAAAAAAATATTTAATGAGTTTAAAATAAAATAGAGGCCTTTAAAATTGCTGTGTTCCTTTTAGGTTATTGCCACATGATTTCAGGAGAAACAATCAAAAGGAAGTTTTAAATTTAAATTTATTTATGATTTATATATATAATAAATATTATATTATATTGTATTATATTGTATTATATTGTATTGTATTATATTGT